CCAGTCCATACCGGTCCATACTGGTTTATACCCATCCATACCGGTCCATACCGGTCCGTACCGGTCCATACTGGTTTATACCGGTCCATACCGGTCCATACTGGTTTATACCAGTCCATACCGGTCCATACCGGTCCATACCGGTCCATACTGGTTTATACCGGTCCATACCGGTCCATACTGGTTTATACTGGTTTATACCGGTCCGTACCGGTCCATACTGGTTTATACTGGTTTATACCCATCCATACCGGTCCATACCGGTCCGTACCGGTCCATACTGGTTTATACCGGTCCATACCGGTCCATACCGGTCCATACTGGTTTATACCAGTCCATACCGGTCCATACCGGTCCATACCGGTCCATACTGGTTTATACCGGTCCATACCGGTCCATACTGGTTTATACTGGTTTATACCAGTCCATACCGGTTTATACCGGTCCGTACCGGTCCGCAGCCGGCGCGCGCGCCGTTTCAGCCTGCAGCACGACCGGATGGTGCGGCCGGACCGGGGCAGCGACAGCGACGGCGACAGCGACAGCGCGGCCACGCCCCTGCGGCTGCTGCTGGCTGCGCATGCGCGGCCCGCGGCCGGCGTGTGACACCCCGGGGACAGCGGGGACAACGTGGGGACAACGGGGACACCTTGGGGACAACGTGGGGACAGTGCGGGGACAGCCTGGGGACACCTTGGGGACAACGGGGACACCTTGGGGACAGCTTGGGACAGCTGGGACAGCGGAAACACCTTGGGGACAGCTGGGGACAGTTGGGGACAGGATGGGGACGGTGTGGTGTCCCCTCCAGGGTGTTGTCCCCATCCTGGTTCTTGTCCCCCATGGTGTCCCCATCATGTCCCCATGCCAGTTTGTGTCCCCAGTCCCTGTCCCCATCCTGGTCTTTGTCCCTGTCCTGGTTCTTGTCCCTGTCCCAGTTCACGTCACCTTCATGTCCCTGTCCCCGCTCATGTCCCCATCGTGTCCCCATCCCAGTTTGTGTCCCCAGTCCTGGTTCAGGTCCCTGTCCCAGTCCTTGTCCCCATCAAATTCTGTGTCCCCATCGTGTCCCTGTCCCAGTTCTTGTCCCCATTGCATTTCTTGTCCCCATCGTGTCCCCATCCCAGTCCCTGTCCCAAGTCCTTGTCCCCATCACGTCCCTGTCCCAGTCCGGTTCTGTCCCCATTTTAGTTCCTGTCCCCATCCTGGTCTTTGTCCCTGTCCCAGTTCCTGTTCCTGTCCCAGTTTGTGTCCCCAATCCTAATTCCGGTCCCCATCCCAGTCCGTGTCCCCATCACGTCCCTGTCTTGGTTCTTGTCCCCGTCCCAGTTCCTGTCCCCATTGAAGTCGGTGTCCCCATCATGTCCCTGTCCCAGTTCATGTCCCAGTTTGTGTCCCTGTTCCTGTCACCATCCCTGTCCCCATCGTGGTTCTTGTCCCCACTGAAATCGGTGTCCCCATTCTGGTTCCTGTCCCCATCCCAATTCTTGTCCCCACTGAAATCGGTGTCCCCATTCTGGTTCTTGTCCCTGTCCCAGTTCCTGTCCCTGTCCCAGCTGGTGTCTCCACAGTGTCACCATCCCAGTTCCTGTCCCCACCATGTCCCCATCCCAGTCCCTGTCCCCACAGTGTCCCTGTCCCCATTGGTGTCCCCATTCCAGGTCCTGTCCCCATGGTGTCCCCATCCTGGTCCCTGTTCCCATCCCAGTTGTCACAATTGAAGTCGGTGTCCCCATGGTGTCCCCATGGTGTCCCTGTCCCAGTTTGTGTCCCCTTTGGTGTCCCCAACCCAGTTCCTGTCCCCATCCTGGTTGTCTCCATTGAAGTCGGTGTCCCCATGATGTCCCTGTCCCAGTTGGTGGCCCTGTCCTGGTGCTGTCCCCAACCCACAGTCCCTGTCCCCATGGTGTCCCCATGGTGTCCCCATGGTGTCCCTGTCCCAGTTAATGTCCCCGTGGTGTCCCCACATTGTCCCTGTCCCAGTTCCTGTCCCCACGGTGTCCCCTTTGGTGTCCCTGTCCCACTTGGTGGCCCTGTCCCCATGGTGTCCCCATGGTGCCCCTGTCCCCACAGTGTCCCTGTCCCAGTTGATGTCCCCATGGTGTCCCTGTCCCCATGGTGTCCCCAACCCAGTCCCTGTCCCCATCCTGGTTATCCCCATTGAAGTTGGTGTCCCCAAGTGCCACCTCCCTGTGGCCCTCCCAATGTCCCCAGGTGTCCCCAGTGCCACCTCCCTGTGCCCCTCCCAATGTCCCCAAGTGTCCCCAGTGCCACCTCCCTGTGCCCCCCCAATGTCCCCAAGTGTCCCCAGTGCCACCTCCCTGTGCCCCTCCCAATGTCCCCAAGTGTCCCCAGTGCCACCTCCCTGTGCCCCCCCCAATGTCCCCAGGTGTCCCCAAGTGCCACCTCCCTGTGCCCCTCCCAATGTCCCCAAGTGTCCCCAGTGCCACCTCCCTGTGCCCCCCCAATGTCCCCAGGTGTCCCCAAGTGCCTGTGCCCCCCAATGTCCCCAAGTGTCCCCAAGTGCCACCTCCCTGTGCCCCCCAATGTCCCCAAGTGCCACCTCCCTGTGCCCCTCCCAATGTCCCCAAGTGTCCCCAGTGCCACCTCCCTGTGCCCCTCCCAATGTCCCCAGGTGTCCCCAGTGCCACCTCCCTGTGCCCCTCCCAATGTCCCCAAGTGTCCCCAGTGCCACCTCCCTGTGGCCCTCCCAATGTCCCCAGGTGTCCCCCAATGTCCCCAACACACAGGGGGGGGTCCCACGGGTGACAGGAAGTGACAATGGGGGGGGGGGGGTGAATTTGGGGACAGTTTGGGGGACTTGGGGACAATGGGAGCATTTGGGGAGAATTTGGGGGATTTGGGGACAATGAGGGGATTTGGGAACAATTTGGGACATTTGGGGACAATGGGAGGGATTTGGGGACAATTTGGGACATTTGGGGACAATGAGGGGATTTGGGAACAATTTGGGACATTTGGGGACAATGGGAGAGATTTGGGGACAATCTGGGGGAATTTGGGGACAATTTGGGTACAATGGGGGGATTTGGGGACAATGAGGGGATTTGGGGACAATTTGGGACATTTGGGGACAATGGGAGGGATTTGGGGACAATTTGGGGGAATTTGGGGACAATTTGGGGACAATTCTGAGGAATTTGGGGACAATTTGGGGGAATTTGGGGACAATTTGGGGGAATTTGGGGACAATTCTGAGGAATTTGGGGACAATTTGGGGGAATTTGGGTACAGTGGGGGGATTTGGGGACAATTTGGGTACAATGGGGGGGAATTTGGGTACAATGATGGAATTTGGGGACACTGAGGGAATTTGGGGACAATTCAGAGGAATTTGGGGACACTGAGAGGGGATTTGGGGACAATGGTAGGGATTTGGGGACAATTAGGGGCATTTGGGGTCAATGGAAGGGATTTGGGGACAATTCAAAGGAATTTGGGGACACCGAGAGGGGATTTAGGGACAATTTGGGGGAATTTGGGGACAATTCAGGGGATTTGGGGACAATGGGGGGGATGGTGACACTGGAAATGTCCCTTTTAGTTCCATTTTTGCCCCATTTTTCCCATTTTTGCCCCATTTTTGCCCCCTCCCCTCCCCCCCCCCCCGTGGCCACCGCAGTTTTTGCCAAAATCTTTTATTGCCGCCCCTCCCCCACCCCCAAATCCCCAAAAAACCCCAAAAAACACCAAATAAATATCCAAGAAAATTCCGTGAAAAAAGGGGAATTTCGGGCGATTCCGGGGATTTTTGGGGGGAATTTGGGGAATTTTGGGGCTCCCCGATTATCACACGGTGATAAGGCAGCGCTGACAGCCCCCGGGGGGGGCAGGTTTGGGGGAATTTCAGGGGATTTTGGGGAATTTCAAAAGGAATTTGGGGAATTTTTAGGGGATTTGGGGGAGTTTTCGGCTGTACAAAATTTACAAAGGGGGAAAATCCCAAAAATTGGGGAAAAAATTAAAAAAAATTGGGGGAAAAGTCCCAAAAATTGGGGAGGGAAAAATTCCAAAATTGGGGAGGGAAAAATCCCAAAAATTGGGGGGAAAGATCCCAAAATTTGGAGGGGAAAATCCCAAAAATTAGGGGAGAAAATCCCAAAAGTTGGGGAGGGGAAAATTCCAAAATTTGGAGGGGAAAAATCCCAAAAATTGGGGGGAAGGATCCCAAAATTTGGAGGGAAAAATCCCAAAAATTAGGGCAGAAAATCCCAAAATTTGGGGAAGGAAAAATCCTAGAATTTGGGGGGAAAATCCCAAAAATTGGGGAGGGAAAAATCCCAGAATTGGGGAGGGAAAAATCCCAAAAATTGGGGGGAAAGATCCCAAAATTTGGAGGGGGAAAAAATCCCAAAATAAGGTGAAAAAATAAAAAAATTGGGGTGGGGGGAAACCCCAAAATTAGGGGAAGGAAACCCTAAAATTTGGAGAGAAAAATCCCAAAATTTAGGGGAGAAAATTCCAAAATTTGGAGGGAAAAAAAATCCTTATAATTTAGGGGGAAAAAATCCCAAAAAATGGGGGGAAAATCCTAAAAATTGGGAGGAAAATCCCAAAATTTGGAGGAGAAAAAATTCCCAAAATTTAGGGGGAAATCCCAAAAATTGGGAAAAAAAAAAAATCTCAAAAACTGGGGGGAAAAATCCTGAAAAATGGAGGGGAGAATCGCTAAAATTTGGGATTTATCCAGGGAAAAAAAATCTTAAAAATTGGGGGAAAACCCTAAAATTTGGGATTTATCTAGAAGGAAAAAAATCCCCAAAACTTGGGATTTATTTATATGAGGGAAAATAGAAAAAATTGGTGGGAAAAATCCCTAAAATTTGGGATTTAGGGGGAAAAATTGTAAAAATTTGGGGGAAAAAATCCCTAAAATTTAGGATTTAGACAGGGAAAAAATTGTAAAAATTTGGGGAAAATCCCTAAAATTTGGGATTTACATAGGGGAAAAAATTCTAAAAATTTTGGGGGAAAAAATCCCTAAAATTTGGGATTTACCTGGAGGGAAAAAAAATCCCCCAAATTTGGGATTTTTCTGATGGAGGAAAATATGAAAAAATTGGGGGGAAAATTCCTAAAAATTGGGAAAAAAATCCCAAAAATTTGGGGGAAAAATTCCCCCAAATTTGTCCTAAATTTAAGGGGGGGGGGGAGGGGACAGAGCCCTTCAGCCCCTGGGGACAGGTGACAATGGCAGGTGCCACCAGGTGTGCCCAGGTGCCACCAAACCTGTCCAGGTGCCACCAAACCTGTCCAGGTGTGCCCAGATGCCACCTCAGGTGTGCCCAGGTGCCACCAGATGTGTCCAGGTGCCGCCAGGTGTGGCCCAGGTGCCACCAAACCTGCCCAGGTGTGGCCCAGGTGCCACCAAACCTGCCCAGGTACCACCTCAGGTGTGTCCAGGTGCCACCAGGTGCGCCCAGGTGCCTCCAGGTATGTCCAGGTGCCACCTCACCTGTCCAGGTGCCACCAGCACACAGAAATGACCGATGTCACCTCAGTGCCACCTCCTGTCCCCTTCCTATGCTGTGCCCAGGTGTGCCCTCACCTGGTCCCTGGTGCCACCAGGTGCCACCAACAGACAGAGAAATGAACGACGTCGCAGTGGTGCCACCTCCTGTCCTGTTCCTGGTCCGTAATGAGGTGCCCAGGTGTGCCCAGGTGTCACCTCAGGTGTGTCACACCTGGCCTGTGGGCAGGGGGAGGTGACAGTGCCACCACAGGTGCCACCAACACACGGAGAAACCAACGGCGCCACCTCCTGATCAGGTTCTCAGGTTCACCAGGTGTGTCCAGATGCCACCAGGTGTGCCCAGGTGCCACCAGGTGCCACTGACACTCTGCCACAACGTCCTGTCCTCTCCTGGCGTTGTCCCCAGGTGCCACCAGGTGCGTCCAGGTGCGTCCAGGTGTGTCCAGCTGTCCCCAGGTGAGTGCCCAGGTGTGCCCAGGTGTCACTCCGGTCTAGGGGAGGTGACAGAGGGCGCCACAGGTGCCACCAACAAAGGGAGTGACAAACGGTGCCACCTCCTATCCTGTCCTGGAACTGTCCCCAGGTGCCACCAGGTGTGCCCAGGTGTGTCCCCAGGTGTGCCCAGGTGTCACTCCGGTCTGGGGGAAGTGACAGGTGCCACCAGGTGCCACCAGCCCACAGAAAAACGAACAGCACCACCTCCTGATCGGCTCTCCAGGTGCCACCAGGTGCGTCCAGCTGTCCCCAGGTGTCCCCAGGTGCCACCAGGTGTGTCCAGCTGTCCCCAGATGTGTCTCCAGGTGCCACCAGGTGAGTTCCCACCTGTCCCCAGCTGTCTCCAGTTGCGCCCAGGTGCCACCAGGTGTGCCCAGGTGAGTTCCCAGGTGTGCCCAGGTGTGTGCCCAGGTGTGTCAGACGAACACCTTGGCCAGGGCGTCGGCGCCGGCGCTGGCGCTGAGGGCGCGGCGCGGGTGGAAGGCCACGGCCAGCACGGCCTCGTGGTGCTTGCGGCGATGGGCGGGGAGCTCCTGCACACAGGTGTGCTCCGACAGGTGCCACAGGCGCAGGGAACAGTCGTGACCTGGGGACACAGAGGGGACACAGGTGACACAGGGGACACAGGTGAGGGACAGCTCCTGCACACAGGTGTGCTCCGACAGGTGCCACAGGCGCAGGGAACAGTCGTGACCTGGGGACAGAGAGGGGACACAGGTGAGGGACAGCTCCTGCACACAGGTGTGCTCCGACAGGTGCCACAGGCGCAGGGAACAGTCGTGACCTGGGGACACAGAGGGGACAGGTGACACAGGGGACACAGGGGACACAGGTAACTCCTGCACACAGGTGTGCTCCGACAGGTGCCACAGGCGCAGGGAACAGTCGTGACCTGGGGACACAGAGGGGACACAGGTGAGGGACAGCTCCTGCACACAGGTGTGCTCCGACAGGTGCCACAGGCGCAGGGAACAGTCGTGACCTGGGGACAGAGAGGGGACAGGTGACACAGGGGACACAGGTAACTCCTGCACACAGGTGTGCTCCGACAGGTGCCACAGGCGCAGGGAGCAGTCGTGACCTGGGGACAGAGAGGGGACAGGTGACACAGGGGACACAGGGGACACAGGTGAGGGACAGCTCCTGCACACAGGTGTGCTCCGACAGGTGCCACAGGCGCAGGGAACAGTCGTGACCTGGGGACAGAGAGGGGACACAGGTGAGGGGACACAGGTGAGGGACACAAAGGGACACAGGTGTGGTCACACAGGTGAGGGACAGCTCCTGCACACAGGTGTGCTCCGACAGGTGCCACAGGCGGAGGGAACAGTCGTGACCTGGGGACAGAGAGGGGACACAGGTGAGGGACAGGTGACACAGGGGACACAGGTAACTCCTGCACACAGGTGTGCTCCGACAGGTGCCACAGGCGCAGGGAGCAGTCGTGACCTGGGGACAGAGAGGGGACACAGGTGAGGGACAGGTGACACAGGGGACACAGGTGAGGGACAGCTCCTGCACACAGGTGTGCTCCGACAGGTGCCACAGGCGCAGGGAACAGTCGTGACCTGGGGACAGAGAGGGGACACAGGTGACACAGGGGACACAGGGGACACAGGTAACTCCTGCACACAGGTGTGCTCCGACAGGTGCCACAGGCGCAGGGAACAGTCGTGACCTGGGGACAGAGAGGGGACACAGGTGAGGGACAGCTCCTGCACACAGGTGTGCTCCGACAGGTGCCACAGGCACAGGGAACAGTCGTGACCTGGGGACAGAGAGGGGACACAGGTGAGGGACAGGTGACACAGGGGACACAGGTAACTCCTGCACACAGGTGTGCTCCGACAGGTGCCAGAGGCGCAGGGAACAGTCGTGACCTGGGGGGGACACAGGTGACACACAGGTGACACAGGGGACACAGGTAACTCCTGCACACAGGTGTGGTCAGACAGGTGCCAGAGCCACAGGGAACAGTCGTGACCTGGGGGGACACAAAGGTGACAAAGGGACACAGGTGAGGGACAGCTCCTGCACACAGGTGTGCTCCGACAGGTGCCACAGGCGCAGGGAGCAGTCGTGACCTGGGGGGGACACAGGTGACACACAGGTGAGGGGACACAGGTGAGGGACACAAAGGGACACAGGTGTGGTCACACAGGTGAGGGACAGCTCCTGCACACAGGTGTGCTCCGACAGGTGCCACAGGCGCAGGGAGCAGTCGTGACCTGGGGACAGAGAGGACAGAGGGGTGACACACCTGGGGACACACCTGGACACGCGCAGACACACCTGGGGACACTGGGACAGGTGACAATGACAGTGGTCACTCAGGGTCACTCATTGGTCACTCAGCAGTTTCTCATTGGTCACTCATTGGTCACTCATTGGTCAGTCAGTACTCAGTGGTCACTCAATAGTCACTCATTGGTCACCCATTGGTCACTCATTGGTCACTCATTGGTCACTCAGTACTCAGTGGTCACTCAATAATCACTCATTGGTCACCCATTGGTCACTCATCGGTCACTCATTGGTCAGTCAGTACTCAGTGGTCACTCAATAATCACTCATTGGTCACCCATTGGTCACTCATTGGTCACTCATTGGTCACTCAGTACTCAGTGGTCACTCAATAGTCACTCATTGGCCACCCATTGGTCACCCATTGGTCACTCATTGGTCACCCATTGGTCACTCATTGGTCAGTCAGTGGTCACTCAGCAGTCAGTGGTCACTCAATAGTCACCCATTGGTCACCCATTGGCCACCCATTGGTCAGTCAGTGGTCACTCAGCAGTCAGTGGTCACTCAATAGTCACCCATTGGTCACCCATTGATCACTCAATAGTCACCCATTGGTCACTCAGTGGTCACTCAGCACCCATTGGTCAGTGGTCCCCCATTGGTCACCCATTGGTCAGTGGTCACTCAGTGGTCACCCGTTGGTCACCCGTTGGTCAGTGGTCCCCCGTTGGTCAGTGGTCACTCAGTGGTCACCCACTGGTCAGTGGTCACTGCAGTGGTCACCCATTGGTCAGTGGTCACCCGTTGGTCAGCGGTCACCCCGTGGTCACTCAGTGGTCACCCGTTGGTCAGTGGTCACCCGTTGGTCAGCGGTCACTCAGTGGTCACCCGCTGGTCAGTGGTCACTGCAGTGGTCACCCATCGGTCACCCATTGGTCAGCGGTCACCCCGTGGTCACCCATCGGTCACCCACTGGTCAGTGGTCACCCATTGGTCAGTGGTCACTCAGTGGTCACCCGCTGGTCAGTGGTCACTGCAGTGGTCACCCATCGGTCACCCGTTGGTCAGCGGTCACCCCGTGGTCACTGCAGTGGTCACCCATCGGTCACCCGTTGGTCAGCGGTCACCCCGTGGTCACTCAGTGGTCACCCACTGGTCAGTGGTCACCCGTTGGTCAGCGGTCACCCCGTGGTCACTCAGTGGTCACCCACTGGTCAGTGGTCACCCGTTGGTCAGCGGTCACCCCGTGGTCACTCACTGCCGGACAGCAGGAAGGCTCCGCCGGGGTCCAGGGCCAGGCAGGTGACGGCGTCCAGGTGAGCGACCATGGAGTGCACGACCTCACCTGGGGAGGGGGCGGGGCCAGCGGGGTTACCATGGCAACACAGAGTCATTGCCCACAATGACCCCGAACGGCGGCTAATCACCCCTGATTGCACCTAATTACCCTAACGACAGCTAATTACCCCTGATTGCACCTAATTACCCATAATGACACCTAATTACCCCTGATTGCACCTAATTACCCTAATGACAGCTAATTACCCCTGATTGCACCTAATTACCCCTGATTGCACCTAATTACCCTAATGACAGCTAATTACCCCTGATTACACCTAATTGCTCCTAATGACACCTAATTACCCGTAACTACACCTAATTACCCATAATGACAGCTAATTACCCATAATTGCACCTAATTACCCATAATGACACCTAATTACCCCTGATTACACCTAATTGCTCCTAATGACAGCTAATTACCCGTAATTGCACCTAATTACCCATAATGACACCTAATTACCCCTGATTACACCTAATTGCTCCTAATGACAGCTAATCACCCGTAATTGCACCTAATTACCCATAATGACACCTAATTACCCCTAATGACCCCTAATGACAGCTAATTACACCTAATTGCCCCTAATGACAGCTAATCACCCCTGATTACACCTAACTGCCCCTAATGACAGCTAATTACCCCTAATTACACCTAATTGCCCCTAATGACAGCTAATCACCCCTGATTACACCTAACTGCCCCTAATGACAGCTAATTACACCTAATTACACCTAATTACCCCAATGACAGCTAATTACCCCTGATTACACCTAATTGCCCCTAATGACCCCCAATTACCCCTTATTACACCTAATTACCCCAATGACAGCTAATTACCCCTAATGACCCCCAATTACCCATAATGACAGCTAATTACACCTAATTACACCTAATTACCCATAATGACACCTAATTACCCCGAATTACACCTAATTGCCCCTAATGACAGCTAATTACACCTAATTACCACTAATGACAGCTAATTACCCCTAATTACAGCTAATTTTCCCTAATGACCCCCAATTACCCATAATGACCCTTAACGACCCCCTAATTCCCTACTGGCCCTAATTACCCCCTCATGACCCCTAATGACCCCCTAATGACCCCACAATTACCCCTAATGACCCCTAATTACCCCTTAATGACCCCCCATGATCCTAATGACTCTCTAATGACCTCCCAATTACCCTCTAATGATCCTCATGTCCCCCTAATTACCCACTCATTACCCCAATGACCCCCCACAATTACCCCTAATGACCCCTAATTATCCCCTAATTGCCCCCTAATGACTCCATAATTACCCTCCAATGGGCAATAATTACCCCTAATTACCCTAAGTATGCTTTAATGACCCCTTGATGACTCCTAATTACCCCCTAATGACACCCACAATTACCCCTAATGACCCCTAATTACCCCCTAACGACTCCATAACTACCCTCTAATGGGTAATTATTACCCTAATTACCCCTTAATTACCCTAAGTATGCTTTAATGACCCCTTGATGACCCCTAATGACCCCTTGATGACCCCTAATGACCCCGTAATTACCCCCTAATGACCGTATAATTACCCTCTAATGGGTAATTATTACCCTAATTACCCCTTAATTACCCTAAGTATGCTTTAATGACCCCTTGATGACCCCTAATGACCCCTAATGACCCCTAATTACCCCCTAACGACTCCATAACTACCCTCTAATGGGCAATAATTACCCTAATTACCCCTTAATTACCCTAAGTATGCTTTAATGACCCCTTGATGACCCCTAATGACCCCCTAATTACCTCCTAACGACCGTATAATTACCCTCTAATGGGCAATAATTACCCTAATTACCCCTTAATTACCCTAAGTATGCTTTAATGACCCCTTGATGACCCCTAATGACCCTAATTACCCCTAATTACCCCCTCATTACTCACCTGTGCGGTTGTCCAGGTAGCGGATGGCGCGGTCGTCGCTGGCCGTGATGGTCAGCGGCTGCGAGGGGTGAGCGACCACCTGGTTCACCTGGGCACGGCCACCTGCGGGGACATTGGGGACATTGGGGACATTGGGGACACCTGGGGACACCCAGAGCGACCACCTGGTTCACCTGGGCACGGCCACCTGCGGGGACATTGGGGACATTGGGGACATTGGGGACACTGGGGACACCTGGGGACACCCAGAGCGACCACCTGGTTCACCTGGGCACGGCCACCTGCGGGGACATTGGGGACATTGGGGACATTGGGGACACTGGGGACACCTGGGGACACCCAGAGCGACCACCTGGTTCACCTGGGCACGGCCACCTGCGGGGACATTGGGGACATTGGGGACATTGGGGACACTGGGGACACCTGGGGGTGAGCGACCACCTGGTTCACCTGGGCACGGCCACCTGCGGGGACATTGGGGACATTGGGGACACCTGGGGACACCTGGGGACATTGGGGACACATTGGGGACATTGGGGACATTGGGGACATTGGGGACACTGGGGACACCTGGGGACACTCAGAGCGACCACCTGGTTCACCTGGGCACGGCCACCTGCGGGGACATTGGGGACATTGGGGACACTGGGGACACATTGGGGACACCTGGGGACATTGGGGACATTGGGGACATTGGGGACACTGGGGACACCCAGAGCGACCACCTGGTTCACCTGGGCACGGCCACCTGCGGGGACATTGGGGACATTGGGGACATTGGGGACACTGGGGACACTGGGGACACCCAGAGTGACCACCTGGTTCACCTGGGCACGGCCACCTGCGGGGACATTGGGGACATTGGGGACACTGGGGACATTGGGGACACCTGGGGACACCCAGAGCGACCACCTGGTTCACCTGGGCACGGCCACCTGCGGGGACATTGGGGACATTGGGGACATTGGGGACACTGGGGACACCTGGGGACACCCAGAGCGACCACCTGGTTCACCTGGGCACGGCCACCTGCGGGGACATTGGGAGGTGGCTCAGGTGGCCCCCAGGTGGCTCCAGGTGATCTCAGGTGACCCTTGGGGACACTGAGGGTGTTCAGGTGGCCCCAGGTGACCCTTGGGGACATTGGGGGGTGGCTCACGTGACCCTTGGGGACACGGGCAGGGGGTTCAGGTGGCCCTTGGGGACATTTGGAGGAGTTCAGGTGACCTCAGGTGATCTCAGGTGACCCTTGGGGACATCAGAGGGGTTCACGTGATCTCAGGTGGCCCCAGGTGGCCCTTAGGGACCTTGAGGGGGTTCAGGTGGCCCTTGGGGACCTTGGGGACATCAGGGGATGTCCAGGTGACCCTTGGGGACCTTGGGGGGGTTCAGGTGGCCCCAGGTGATCTCAGGTCACCCTTGGAGACATTGAGTAGGTTCAGGTGGCCCCAGGTGGCCCTTGGGGACATTTGGAGAGGTTCAGGTGACCCTTGGGGACCTTGGGGACATCAGGGGATGTCCAGGTGACCCTTGGGGGGGTTCAGGTGATCTCTGGTGGCCACAGGTGACCTTTAGGGACCTTGAGGGGGTTAAGTGGCCCTTGGGGACATCGGGGGGATTCAGGTGACCCTTGGGGACCCTGGGGACATCGGGGGTGTTCAGGTGATCTCAGGTGACCCGTGGGGACATTGGGGACGTGATGGGGGGTGTCACTCACCGCCGTTTGGGGACACCAGGGTGGCCTTGGTGGCCTCGAGGTCGTAGAGGACGGTGGCACCGGAGCGGAACCCGGCCACGAGCTGGGCGGGCTGGGAGGGGACAAAGGCCACCGACGTGGGGACACCGTGATCTGAAACAGGGACAGGTGAGGGACAGGTGTGACACTGGGGACAAACGCCACCGACGTGGGGACACCGTGATCTGAAACAGGGACAGGTGAGGGACAGGTGTGACACTGGGGACAAACGCCACCGACGTGGGGACACCGTGATCTGAAACAGGGACAGGTGTGACACCTGTGCAGGTGTGACACTGGGTGTGACACAGCTGGGGACAAACGCCACCGACGTGGGGACACCGTGATCTGAAACAGGGACAGGTGTGACACCTGTGCAGGTGTGACACTGGGTGTGACACAGCTGGGGACAAAGGCCACCGACGTGGGGACACCATGATCTGAAACAAACAGGTAAGGGGACAGGTGCGTGTGACACCTGGGGACAAACACCACTGACGTGGGGACACCGTGATCTGAAACCAACAGGTGAGAAACAGGTGTGACACACCTGGGGACAAACGCCACCGACGTGGGGACACCGTGATCTGAAACAGGGACAGGTGTGACACATGTGCAGGTGTGTCCCCCCCAGATGTGTCCCCCCAGGTGTGTCCCCAGTGTCCCCAGGTGTCCCCAGTGCTCACCTTTGTGCCCGTCCAGCACGCTCAGGCAGGTCCCTGTCACGGTGCCACCCTCATTGGTGGCATTGGTGACACCGCTGTCCCCGCGGGGCTCCCAGAGGCGCACGGTGCCATCGGCCGAGCGTGACGCCAGGTGTGTGTGTGTGTGTGTGTGTCCCCAAATGTCCCCAGGTGTGTCCCCAGGTGTGTCCCCATTGCCCCCAAATGTGTCCCCAGTGTCCCCAGGTGTGTCCCCAGGTGTGTCCCCAGTGTCCCCAGTGCTCACCTTTGTGCCCGTCCAGCACGCTCAGGCAGGTCCCCGCCGCGGTGGCATTGTCACCGTTGCTGTCCCCGCTGTCCCCGCGGGGGTCCCAGAGGCGCACGGTGCCATCGGCCGAGCACGAGGCCAGGTGGCGCCCGGTGACATCGAAGGCCAGCGCCCAGACGGCGTCAGAGTGACCATCGAGGAACCCCCGGAGCACCCGCGGGTCTGGGGACAGCCGGGGGACATTGAGGGGACACTGGGGACACTGGGGACACTGGGGACATTGGGGGGATTGGGGGGATTGGGGACATTGGGGGACATTGGGGACATTGGGGGGATTGGGGACATTGGGGGGATGGGGGACACGGGGGATTGGGGACATTGGGGGGATTGGGGACATTGGGGACATTGGGGACATTGGGGGGATTGGGGACATTGGGGGGATTGGGGACATTGGGGACATTTGTGGACATTGGGAGTGTTGGGGATATTGGGGGGTGGCATTGTCCCCATGTCCCCAAGTGCCACTGTGGCCATCGAGGAACCCCCGGAGCACCCGCGGGTCTGGGGACATCGTTGGGGACATTGTGGGGATTGGGGACATTGGGGACAGCACTGTCCCCATGTCCCCGAGTGCCACCACACGCCAGTGCCCCCATGTCCCCAAGTGTCCCTAATATCCCCAGGTGTCCCCGTGTCCCCAAGTGCCACCACAGCCCCAATGCCCCCATGTCCCCAAGTGCCACCACACCCCCGAGGTCCTCAATGTCCCCGAGTGCCACCATAGCCCCGATGTCCCCAGCTGTCCCCAAGTGCCACCACACCGCAATATCCCCAATATCCCTGATGCCCCCAATGTCCCCAAGTGCCACCCCAGCCCCAATGTCCCCAAGTGTCCCTGAGTGCCACCGCATCCCCGCTGTCCCCAATGTCCCTGCTGTCCCCAAGTGCCACCACACCCCAGTATCCCCAGGTGTCCCCAATGTCCCCAGGTGTCCCCAATGTCCCCAAGCGCCACCACAGCTCAATATCCCCTGCTGTCCCTAAGTGCCACCACACCCCCGATGATCCTGATGTCCCCAGTGTCCCCAATATCCCCAAGTGCCACCCCAGCCCCGCTGTCCCCCATGTCCCCGCTGTCCCCGATGTCCCCAAGTGCCACCACACCCCAATATCCCCAGGTGTCCCCAGTGTCCCCAATGTCCCCGATGTCCCCGATGTCCCCAGTGTCCCCAGGTGCCACCACACCCCAATATCCCCGGGTGTCCCCAATGTCCCCAATGTCCCTGATGTCCCCAATGTCCCCGATGTCCCCAAGTGTCCCCGATGTCCCCAGGTGCCACCACACCCCAATATCCCCGGGTGTCCCCAATGTCCCCAATGTCCCCGATGTCCCCAGTGTCCCCAGGTGCCACCACACCCCAATATCCCCAGGTGTCCCCAATGTCCCCGATGTCCCCAAGTGTCCCCAGGTGCCACCACACCCCAATATCCCCGTGTGTCCCCAATGTCCCCAATGTCCCCAAGTGTCCCCGATGTCCCCAAGTGCCACCACACCCCAATATCCCCAGGTGTCCCCAATATCCCCAGGTGTCCCCAATGTCCCCAATGTCCCTGATGTCCCCGATGTCCCCAAGTGTCCCCGATGTCCCCAGGTGCCACCACACCCCAATATCCCCGGGTGTCCCCAATGTCCCCGATGTCCCCAAGTGTCCCCAGGTGCCACCACACCCCAATGTCCCCAGGTGTCCCCAATGTCCCCAATGTCCCCAAGTGCCACCACACCCCAATATCCCCAGGTGTCCCCAATGTCCCCGATGTCCCCGATGTCCCCAGGTGCCACCACACCCCAATATCCCCGGGTGTCCCCAATGTCCCCGATGTCCCCGATGTCCCCGGTGTCCCCAGGTGCCACCACACCCCAATATCCCCGGGTGTCCCCAATGTCCCCGATGTCCCCGATGTCCCCGATGTCCCCAGGTGCCACCACACCCCAATATCCCCAGGTGTCCCCAATGTCCCCAATGTCCCCGATGTCCCTGATGTCCCCGATGTCCCCGGTGTCCCCAGGTGCCACCACACCCCAATATCCCCAGGTGTCCCCAATGTCCCCAATGTCCCCGATGTCCCCGATGTCCCCGATGTCCCCAGTGTCCCCAGGTGCCACCACACCCCAATATCCCCGTGTGTCCCCAATGTCCCCGATGTCCCCAGTGTCCCCAGGTGCCACCACACCCCAATATCCCCGGGTGTCCCCAATGTCCCCAATGTCCCCGATGTCCCCGATGTCCCCAGTGTCCCCAGGTGCCACCACACCCCAACATCCCCAGGTGTCCCCAGTGTCCCCAATGTCCCCGATGTCCCCAATGTCCCCGATGTCCCCAGTGTCCCCGGTGTCCCCAGGTGCCACCACACCCACCGTAGCCGTCGTAGGGGTCGCTGTCCAGCCCCGGGAGGCGCCAGCAGCGAATCCGAGCGTCCACCCCGGCACTGCAGCACAGCCCGGTGCCACCGATGTCACCGGTGTCACCTCCCGTGTCACCCGGCGCCACCGCCACCGCCAGCACGGGGCCCCTGGGTGACAGAAATCGCACCGGTGTCACCAATGTCACCTGTGTCACCGGTGCCACCTGGTGTCACTGCCAGCACAGGGCGCCTGAGTGACAGAAATGACGCTGGTGGCACCGATGTCACCGGTGTCACCGCCTGTGTCACCTGTGTCACTCTCAGCACGGGGCCCCTGAGTGACAGAAATCGCACCGGTGTCACCAATGTCACCGGTGTCACCGCAGTCACCTCCTGGGCTCCTGGGATGGTGACAAAGGGACAGAAATCCCAATACAACCACAGCCAGGTGACAGCCAGGCGACACAGAGGTGACGCCAAGGTGACAAAGAGGCGACAATGTGGCGACAATGTGGCGACACTGAGGTGACAACGAAGGCGACAGCGAGGTGACAAAGTGCCAAACCTGTGCCCGCGGAAGGCGTACACCGGCTCCACGTCCAGCGCCGCGCTCCTGAGGGGACAACGGCGACAAAGCCGGTGACAAACGGCGACAAAGGGCGACGTCATCGCCGCCGCCACCCCCATTGTCACCCGCTGTCACCCGCTGTCACCGTCTGTCACGCACCTCTTGGGGACGAGCGGCTTCTGCAGGTTCCAGAGCTTGAGCGTGGCGTCCTCGGACGCCGTCACCAGCGCCGGGTGACAAGGGACAAAGGCCAGCGCCCGCACGGCGTCGTAGTGGCTGCGCAGCGTCAGGCGCGGGCTCCAGCTGCGCCGCGGGGACGGCGACGCCACCTGGGGGGACATGGGGACACTTGGGGACACTTGGGGACACTTGGGGACACGTGGGGACACTGGGACATGGTGGCACTTGGGGACACTGGGACACGGGGACATTGATGTCAGGCGCGGGCTCCAGCTGCGCCGCGGGGACGGCGACGCCACCTGGGGGGGACATGGGGACACTTGGGGACACTTGGGGACACTTGGGGACACTTGGGGACACTGGGGTATGGGGATATTGGGATATGGTGGCACTTGGGGACACTGGGACACAGGGACATTGATGTCAGGCGCGGGCTCCAGCTGCGCCGCGGGGACGGCGACGCCACCTGGGGGGACATGGGGACACTTGGGGACACGTGGGGACACTTGGGGACACTGGGGTATGGGGATATTGGGATATGGTGGCGTTTGGGGACATTGGGAATTGGGGACATGGGGACATTCATTGATGTCAGGCGCGGCTCCAGCTGCGCCGTGGGGACGGCGACGCCACCTGGGGGGACATGGGGACACTTGGGGACACTCTGGGGACACGTGGGGACACTTGGGGACACTGGGGTATGGGGATATTGGGATATGGTGGCACTTGGGGACATCGGGAATTGGGGACACTGATGTCAGGCGCGGGCTCCAGCTGCGCCGCGGGGACGGCGACGCCACCTGGGGGGACATGGGGACACTTGGGGACACTTGGGGACACTCTGGGGACACTCTGGGGACACTGGGGTATGGGGATATTGGGATATGGTGGCGCTTGGGGACATTGGGAATTGGGGACATGGGGACATTCATTGATGTCAGGCGCGGCTCCAGCTGCGCCGCGGGGACGGCGACGTCACCTGGGGGGACATGGGGACACTTGGGGACACTTGGGGACACTGGGACATGGTGGCACTTGGGGACACTGGGACACGGGGACATTGATGTCAGGTGCGGCTCCAGCTGCGCCGCGGGGACGGCGACGCCACCTGGGGACACCAGGGTGGCACTTGGGGACATGCGGTGGCACTTTGGGGACACTTGGGGACACTTGGGGACATTGGGATATGGTGGCACTTGGGGACATGGGGACTTGGGGACAGCTCCAGCTGCGCCGCGGGGACAGCAACGGCACCTGGGGACATGGTGGCATTTGGGGACACGCGGTGGCACTTGGGGACATTGGGATATGTGTAGAAACAAGGGAGTGGTGGCATTTGGGGACATCGGGAATTGGGGACACTGATGTCAGGCGCGGCTCCAGCTGCGCCGCGGGGACGGCGACGCCACCTGGGGACACGGGGACACTTGGGGACATTGGGATATGGTGGCACTTGGGGACACTCTAGGGACACAGGGATGGGGCACCAGGGCCATGGTGGCACGTGGGGACATTCAGGGCAGGGTCAGGTGGCCCTTGGGGACACTGAGGACAGGCACGGGTGGCATTGGGGACACTGAAGACAGGCAGAGGTGGCATTGGGGACATTAAGGACAGGCAGAGGTGGCACTGGGGACACTGGGGACAGGTAGGGGTGGCATTGGGGACATTCAGAAGTGGTACTGGGGACACTGGGGACATTCAGAGGTGGCATTGGGGACACTGGGCACAGGCACAGGTGGCATTGGGGACATTCAGGACATTCAGAGGTGGCACTGGGGACACTGGGGACAGGCAGGGGTGGCATTGGGGACGCTCAGAGGTGGCACTGGGGACACTCAGAGGTGGCACTGGGGACACTCAGAGGTGGCACAGGTGTCACTCACGTCACCGCCGTCGTCGTCGTTTGTCACCGTCAGCTCCGCCAGGTCCCCGAGGCCGTCCAGGGCCAGCGCCTCGGCCGGGGGGACACCCAGGGACCCTGGGGACAGTGGGGACAATGGGGACAATGGGGACACCCAGGGACCCTGGGGACAGAGGGGACAATGGGGACAATGGGGACACCCAGGGACCCTGGGGACAATGGGGACAATGGGGACAGAGGGGACAGTGGGGACACCCAGGGACCCTGGGGACAATGGGGACAATGGGGACAATGGGGACACCCAGGGACCCTGGGGACAGTGGGGACAATGGGGACAATGGGGACAATGGGGACACCCAGGGACCCTGGGGACAATGGGGACAATGGGGACAATGGGGACACCCAGGGACCCTGGGGACAATGGGGACAGTGGGGACAATGGGGACACCCAGGGACCCTGGGGACAATGGGGACAATGGGGACAATGGGGACACCCAGGGACCCTGGGGACAGTGGGGACAGAGGGGACAATGGGGACACCCAGGGACCCTGGGGACAGTGGGGACAGAGGGGACAATGGGGACACCCAGGGACCCTGGGGACAATGGGGACAGTGGGGACAATGGGGACACCCAGGGACCCTGGGGACAGAGGGGACAGAGGGGACAATGGGGACACCCAGGGACCCTGGGGACAGAGGGGACAGAGGGGACAGTGACACCGTGGTGGTCCTGGGGACAATGGGGACACCCTGGGGACACAGGGGACAATGGGGGCAGTGGGGACAGGGACACTGGGGTGGCCTGGGGGACACCCAGGGGACAATGGGGACATCAGGGTGGCCTTGGGGACAGTGGGGACACCCAGGGGACAGAGAGGACAATGGGGACAGGGACATTGGGGTGGTCTTGGGGACACAGGGACCCCCCCGGTGACACAAGTGACACTGAGGTGACACTGAGGTGACACACAGGTGACAGTGACACAGGTGACACACAGTGACACAGGTGACACCCAGGTGACACTGAAGTGACACAGGTGACACACAGGTGACACAGGTGACACACAAGTGACACTGAAGTGACACACAGGTGACACAGGTGACACACAGGTGACACAGGTGACACTGAAGTGACACAGATGACACACAGGTGACACAGGTGACAGTGACACAGATGACACACAGGTGACACAGGTGACACAGGTGACACTGAAGTGACACAGGTGACACCCAGGTGACACAGGTGACACACAAGTGACACAGGTGACACAGGTGACACAGATGACACACAGGTGACACAGGTGACAGTGACACAGGTGACACAGGTGACACAGATGACACACAGGTGACAGTGACACAGGTGACACAGGTGACACAGGTGACACAGATGACACACAGGTGACACAGGTGACAGTGACACAGGTGACACAGGTGACACAGATGACACACAGGTGACACACAGGTGACACAGGTGACACAGGTGACAGACGTGTCCTCACCTTCAGGTGGCCGCGGTGGCCCGAGGTCCCCGTCCCGCAGGTGGCACCGGTGGCTCTCTGTGACAAAGGGGGGCAGGAGGGGTCAGGACATGTCCCCAAATGTCCCCAAAGTGTCCCTGAGCTCACCTCTGATGTCCCCAGGTGTCCCCAAATGTCCCCAAGGTGTCCCCAAATGTCCCCAAGGTGTCCCCAAGGTGTCCCCAGGTGTCCCTGTCCTCACCCCTGATGTCCCCAAATGTCCCCAAATGTCCCCAAGGTGTCCCCAAGGTGTCCCCAGGTGTCCCTGTCCTCACCCCTGATGTCCCCAAATGTCCCCAAATGTCCCCAAGGTGTCCCTGTCCCCCCCCCCCAATGTCCCCAAATGTCCCCAAGGTGTCTCTGATGTCCCCAAAGTGTCCCCAGGTGTCCCCAAAGTGTCCCCAAGGTGTCCCTGTCCCCCCCCCTAATGTCCCCAAATGTCCCAAATGTCCCCAAGGTGTCTCTGATGTCCCCAAAGTGTCCCCAGGTGTCCCCGAAGTGTCCCCAGTGTGTCCCCAAGCTCACCTCTGATGTCCCCAGGTGTCCCCAAGGTGTCTCTGATGTCCCCAAATGTCCCCAAAGTGTCCCCAAGGTGTCCCCAAGGTGTCCCCAGGTGTCCCTGTCCTCACCCCTGATGTCCCCAAGGTGTCCCCAAGGTGTCCCCAAGGTGTCTCTGATGTCCCCAAATGTCCCCAAAGTGTCCCCAAGGTGTCCCCAAGCTCACGCCAGGTGTCCCTGTCCTCACCCCTGATGTCCCCAGGTGTCCCCAAAGTGTCCCCAAGGTGTCCCCAAGGTGTCCCCAGGTGTCCCCAGCTCACCCCTGATGTCCCCAGGTGTCCCCAAATGTCCCCAAAGTGTCCCCAAGGTGTCCCCAGGTGTCCCCAGCTCACCCCCTGATGTCCCCAGGTGTCCCCAGGTGTCCCCAAGGTGTCCCCAGGTGTCCCCAAGCTCACCCCTGATGTCCCCAGGTGTCCCCAAGGTGTCCCCAGGTGTCCCCTGTCCTCACCCCTGATGTCCCCAGGTGTCCCCAGGTGTCCCCAAGGTGTCCCCAGGTGTCCCCAAGCTCAGCCCTGATGTCCCCAGGTGTCCCCAAATGTTCCCAAAGTGTCCCCAAGGTGTCCCCAAGGTGTCCCCAAGCTCACCCCTGATGTCCCCAGGTGTCCCCAAAGTGTCCCCAGGTGTCCCCTGTCCTCACCCCTGATGTCCCCAGGTGTCCCCAAGGTGTCCCCAAGGTGTCCCCAGGTGTCCCCAAGCTCACCCCTGATGTCCCCAGGTGTCCCCAAGGTGTCCCCAAGGTGTCCCCAGGTGTCCCCAAGCTCACCCCTGATGTCCCCAGGTGTCCCCAAGGTGTCCCCAGGTGTCCCCAGCTCACCCCTGATGTCCCCAGGTGTCCCCAAGGTGTCCCCAGGTGTCCCCAGCTCACCCCTGATGTCCCCAGGTGTCCCCAAGGTGTCCCCAGGTGTCCCCAGGAAGTCGAACTCCCCCAGGGCGTCCTCGGAATCCTCCTCATCTTCATCCTCATCCTCCTCCTCCTCGGGGACCTTGGGGACACCCTGGGGACAAAGGGGACACCGGGCTCAGGGGGGGACAAAAACGGGACGGAAAAAGGGACGAAAAAAGGAGAAAAAAGGGACAAAAAATGGGAGAGACAAAGAGAAAAAAGGAGAAAAAAGAAGGAAAAAGGGATTTAAGTAAAGAGGAAAAAGGGGAGAAAAACTGGAGTGAAAAGGGAGAAAATGGGACAAAAAACAGGAGAAAAAAGGGATTAAAAAAAAGGGGGCAAAGGGATAGAAAAGGGAGAAAAATTGGAGAAAAATTGGAGAAAAAAGGGGCAAAAAAGAGAAAAAAAGGGAGAAAAATGGGAGAAAAAAGGGACAAAAACGGGAGAGAAGAGGATAAAAAAGAAGGAAAAAGAGATTAAAAAAAGGAGAAAAAAGGGAAAAAAACTGGAGAAAAAAGGGATAAAATGGGACAAAAAACAGAAGAAAAAACAGACAAAAAAGGGATTTAAAAGAGAGAAAAAGGGTGAAAAAGGGATTTAAAAAAAGAGGAAAAAAGGGAGAAAAAAGGGAGAAAATGGGAGAAAAATGAAACAAAAAAGGGATTTAAAAAAAAAGATGGAAAAAGGGAAGATAAGGGAGGAGAAGGGAGGAGAAAAGGGACAAAAATGGAACAAAAAAGGGAGAAAAAAAGAGAAAGAAAAGGGACAAAAAAGGAGAAAAAAAAACCAAAACAGAAAAAGGGACAAAGAAGGACAAAAACAAAGAAAAAATCTCCCAAAATCCTCCTAAATCCCCACAACCCTCTAAATATTCCCCAAAATTCCCTAAAAGTTACATTAAAATCCCCTTAAAATTCCCTTAATTCCCCTAAAAAATTCTCTTAAAATACTCTGAAAATCCCCTAAAATCCCTCCAAATTCTCCTAAAAATCCCCCAAAACTCCTCCCTTCAAAAATTTCCTAAAGTCAAAATTTCCCTAAAACCCCTCAAACTTCTCCAAAAAATTCTCCAAAAATCCCCTAAAAATCCCCCTAAAATTCCATTAAAACCCCCTAAAATCCTAAAAATCTCAGGTGTCCTAGGATTCCCAAAAAACTCCCAAAAAAATCCCCAAAAATTCCTTAAAACCCCCCCCCAAGTCCTCTAAGGTCCAAAAAAATCCTCTGAAATCCCTCAAAAATCTCCCAAAATCCCCTAAAAATCCCTAAAACCCCTCCAAAAATCCCCCAAAATCCCTCCCAACCCCCCCCCAAATCCCCTAAAAACACCCCCAAAATCCCCCCAACCCCTAAAAATCTCCCAAAAATCGTCCCAAACCCCCCAAAATTCCCTAAAATGCCCCACAATTTCCCAAATTTCCGATTTTGGGTCCCGACCTTTCCCCTCCTGCGGGCGGGGGTGGGGGAGGGGCTCTCGGGCTCCTCTTCCTCATCGCTGTCATCCTCGGGGGGGGAGGGGCTGAGCCCGGCCTGCGGCTCCTTCCCGGCGTTCCTGGGGGGAAAATCCCAAAAAATGGGGAAAAAAATTCAAAAAAAGGGAAGAAAATGGGAAAAAACCCACAAAAAATCCCATTAAAAACGACCCAAAAATGGTGAAAATTTGAGAATCTTATGAGGAGAATCCTAAAATCCCCCATGAGAAATCCCAAAAATTCTTCCAAAACCCGAAATTCCACAAAAAGCCCCAAAAATCCGAAAACTGCCCCAAAACTCCCCCAATCCCCCACAAATTCGTAAGAAGCCCCAAAATTCCACCAAAAAATCCCCAAAAAATTCTCCCCAAAGTTTTCTAAAAATCCCCCAAAACCCCTCCAAAATCCCCTCCTAAATTCTAAAAATACTCTCAAAGCCCCCCAAAATTCCCACCAAAAATTCCCTAAAAATACCCCCAAATTTCCATAAAAAACCCAAAATTCCCTAAAAGTCCCCCCAATTCTCTAAAATCCCCAAATCCCAGCAGAATAACCCCCAAAATCCTCTAAAAATCCCAAATCCCCAAAAATCCCCCCCAAATTCTCTAAAAACCCCCCAAGCCCCCCAAAAATTCCCTTACAAAACCAAAAAAATCACCAAAATAACCTCTAAAATTCCTAAAAAATTCCTGAAAAATCTCCCCCAAAAATTAGCAAAAACTTCTAAATTCTCCATAAATTCCCTAAAAAACTCCCAAAATTCCCCAAAAAACCAAAAAAATGCCCCAAATTGTCCTAAAAACCCCAGAATCCCACTAAAAAAAACCCAAAAAATTGCCCCCAACCCTGCTAAATTCCTTAAAAAACCCCAAACCCCACAACAAAAACATCCCAAAATGCCCTGAAATTCCCAAATCCCACAAATAAAACTCCCAAAATTCCTAAAATCCCTGGAATTTGCCCCCAAAATTCCCAAAACATCCCAAATCTCCCCCAAAATCCCCCCCAAATTCCCTAAAAATCCCCAAAAATTCCCAAAAAATCCCCCTAAAAATGCCCCCAAAATCCCCTTAAAAACCCCAAATCCCTCAAACAATACCCCCAAAAATTCAGCCCAAAATTCCCACAAAAAAAACCCCAAAAATCCCACTAAAAATCCCCAAAATTCCCACTAAAAAACCCCAAAATTCCCACAAAAAACCCCCAAAAATCCCACTAAAAAACCCAAAATTCCCACAAAAAAACCCCCAAAATCCCACTAAAAATCCCCAAAATTCCCACAAAAAAAACCCCCAAAAATCCCACTAAAAACCCCCAAAAATCCCATAAAAAACTCCCAAATTCCCACAAATAAACCCCAAAATTCCCACCAAAAAACCCTACAATTCCCACAAACCCCAAAATTTCCATTAAAAACCCTAAAATTCCCACAAAAAAACCCAAAATTCCCACAAATAAACCCCAAAAATCCCATAAAAAAACCCAAAATCCATTAAAAAACCCCCCAAAATCCCACAAAAAAACCCCAAAATTCCCACAAAAAAACCCAAAATCCCATTAAATGAACCCCCAAAATCCCATTAAAAAACCCCCAAAATTCCCACAAAAAACCCCCAAATTCCCACAAAAACCCCCCAAATTCCCACAAAAATCCCCAAAATCCCACAAACCCCCCCCAAAATCCCATTAAAAAAACCCCAAAATTCCACAAAAAACCCCCAAAATCCCATTAAAAACCCCCCCAAAATCCCATTAAAAAACCCCAAAATTCCCACAAAAAACCCCCAAAATCCCATTAAAAAACCCCCAAAATTCCCACAAAAAACCCCCAAATTCCCACAAAAAAACCCAAAATTCCCACAAAAATCCCCAAAATCCCACAAAAACCCCAAAATTCCCACAAAAATCCCCAAAATTCCCATTAAAACCCCAAAATTCGCACAAAAAACCCCCCCAAAAATCCCACAAAAAACCCCCAAAAATCCCATAAAAAACTCCCAAATTCCCACAAATAAACCCCAAAATTCCCACAAAAAAACCCAAAATTCCCACAAAAATCCCAAAATCCCACAAAAAACCCCAAAATTCGCACAAAAACCCCCAAATTCCCACAAAAAACCCCAAAATCCACAAAAACCCCCCAAAATTCCCACAAAAATCCCCAAAATTCCCACAAAAACCCCAAAATTCGCACAAAAAAACCCCAAAATTCCTACAAAAAACCCCCCAAAAATCCCATAAAAAACCCCAAAATTCCCACAAATAAACCCCAAAATTCCATAAAAAACCCCAAAATTCCCATAAAAAACCCCAAAAATTCTCACAAAAAACCCCCAAAATTCCTACAAAAAACCCCAAAATTCCCATAAAAAACCCCAAAATTCCACCAAAAAACCCCAAAATTCCCACAAACCCCAAAATTTCCATTAAAAACCCTAAATTCCCACAAAAAAACCCCAAAATTCCCACAAATAAACCCCAAATATCCCATTAAAAAACCCAAAATCCCATTAAAAAACCCCCCCAAAATCCCACAAAAAAACCCCAAAATTCGCACAAAACCCAAAATCCCATTAAATGAACCCCCAAAATCCCATTAAAAAACCCCCAAAATTCCCACAAAAAACCCCAAAATTCCCACAAAAATCCCCAAAATCCCACAAAAATCCCCAAAATCCCACAAACCCCCCCCCAAAATCCCATTAAAAAAACCCCAAAATTCCCACAAAAAACCCCAAAATTCCATTAAAAACCCCCCAAAATTCCACCAACCCCAAAATTCCCACAAAAAACACCCAAAAATGCCGTTAAAAACCCCCCAAAATTCCCACCAAAAAACCCCAAAATTCCCACAAAAATCCCCAAAATCCCACAAAAAACCCCAAAATCCCACAAAAAACCCCAAAATTCCCACAAAAATCCCCAAAATCCACAACCCCCCCCCAAAATCCCATTAAAAAAACCCAAAATTCCCACAAAAATCCCAAAATTCCATTAAAAACCCAAAATTCGCACAAAAAACCCCCCCAAAAATCCCACAAAAAACCCCCAAAAATCCATAAAAAACTCCCAAATTCCCACAAATAAACCCCAAAATTCCCACAAAAAAACCCAAAATTCCCACAAAAATCCCCAAAATCCCACAAAAAACCCCAAAATTCGCACAAAAACCCCCAAATTCCCACAAAAAACCCCAAAATCCCACAAAAACCCCCAAAATCCCACAAAACCCCCCCCCCAAAATCCCATTAAAAACCCCCCAAAATTCCCACCAAAAAACCCCAAAATTCCCACAAAAAACCCCCAAAATCCCATTAAAAACCCCCCAAAATTCCCACAAAAATCCCCAAATTAATTCCCGGGATTTCTCCCCAACCTCTGGATCTGCTCCTCGATCCTGCGCAGCAGCAGCGACTCCGTGCCCGGGCTGGGGGAGGGGCTGGGGGGGCTCTCGGGGCTGGGGGGGGCCCCGGGAATTCCCGGAATTCCCGAAATTCCCGAAATTCCTGGGGGAATTCCCGCGGAAAGTTCTGGAAGGCCGGGGGGGCTCCGGCCCAGCAGCGCCCGCAGCCGCCGCGAGCGCATGTCCAGGATGGTGTCGCTGTAACCCAGCTCCTCCAGGTACCTGCGGGGGGAAAATCCAGAAAAAATGAGATTTCTAGGGAGGAAATTGTGGGAAAATCCCCCCTAAAATCTTGGAAAAACCCTGGGAAAAATTGCACAAAAAATCCTGGAAAAATCCCAAAAACATCCCCTAAAAAAATCCCCAAATTTGGGATGATGGGAGCGGCCAGGACCTCATGTCCAGGATGGTGTCGGGGTAACCCAGCTCCTCCAGGTACCTGCGGGGGAAGATCCAGAAAAAATGAGATTTTTAGGAGGAAATTGTGGGAAAATCCCACCTAAAATCCTGAAAATACCCTGCAAAAATTCCTGGGAAAATCCCCCCCAAAATCCTGAAAAAGTCCCACAAAAATCCCCCAAAAAATCCTGAACAAATCCCTACAAAAATCGTGGAAAAAATCCCGGAAAAATCCTGGAAAAAGCCCACAGAAATCCTACAAAAGGTCCTGGAAAAATGCTACAAAAAATCCCTGAAAAAAGTCCTGGAAAAATCCTGCAAAAAATCCCCGCAAAACCACTGGAAATCGTGGAAAAATCTCACAGAGAGCCTGGAAAAATCCCCACAAAAATCCCATAAAAACCCTGGAAAAATCCCGCAAAAATTCTGCAAAAATCCTGCAAAAATTCCACAAAAATCACGCAAAAAAATGCTCACAAAAATCCTGGGAAAATGCCATAAACATCTGGGAAAAATCTCCACAAAAAATTCTGCAAAAATCCTGGAAAAATACCACAGAAAATCCCAGAAAAATCCCCTAAAAAATCCCAAATTTGGGATGATGGGAGCGGCCAGGACCTCATGTCCAGGACGGTGTCGGGGTAACCCAGCTCCTCCAGGTACCTGCGGGGGGAAAAACATCCAAAATGGGATTTTTGGGGGGCAAAAATGTGGGAAAATCCCACCTAAAATCCTGGGAAAATTCCCACAAAAATCGTGGAAAAAATCGTGAAAAAAATCCTGGAAAAAATCCTGGAAAATCCCACAAAAATCGTGGAAAAAATCGTGGAAAATCCTGCAAAAATCCCAC